CTATAATAATAATCAATCTAATTATATTATGATCAATTAAAATCTCATTTAGTGTACAAATATTTTTTCTCAAACTTAAGTTGGTAAAAAACTTACTAGTTAGAGGTCGGGGGCAAGGTCATGAAAGATGGTACTGAAGCTGGATGTCCAACATTTGAATAACTTTTGTTTTATTTCTATTAAACATTAATTTCGCACAAGGTTTAGTAGCTACTCACTTAATCTACAATTTTAGCTTAATAGACTTATACATGAAGTTACATATTATAATATAAACAACTTATTGAAACAATTCCTATAAACTTTAGGTTCTTTTTTATGTAATCATATATACTTAAATGGTAAGTCTCTTTAGGACCTAAGTTCCTATATACTTATCCACAACCATTGTTTAAATTCTTGTGCTAAGAGTGTTGCGCCTATTACTAATAGAAATTCTTTTAATTAGGATGTGCAGAACTACTATGAACTCTTTGCTTCTTTATTCTAAAGATTTATTTGTGTTATTTTATGGAGGTTTTGAATTTCATCAACTTGTAAAATAAAATGAGCAAGGTCACTTACATATCAGGACTTCTTCCAAAATGAATCCTCAAATAATTAAATCAATAAAAAATGGAGAGACAAGAAAGCTTGAGAAGCGAGAGAAAATGAGATAGACGGAGAGAGTTTAGAGAGTAAAATTAGCAAAAATATTGTGTTTATGTGTTTTTTTTTACGAATTTACAAAGCTTGATTATGGGGATACATAAATGATCTATGAAAAATTCAAAGAATATAAGTTGCTTAAAAAACTTAAAGGGTTTAGAGAATTTCTCATGACATTACAATCATAGTATGAATAATGATAGAATACATTTAAACCTTTGATAGTAGTTGTTAATAAAAACGAAAAATTAAAAGATAAGTCATCTCTTACAAAATTATTTTTCATGAGTGGGATCGTTAAATACTTTTTATTACTATATGATAGTCAATTTGAGTTACGGTTATTTTTTTTTTAAGTAAATCTATCACTGTATTCCACATATAAAAATAAAAATATTTGATGCATAGATTTAAAGTTGATACAAACCATGTCCTTAATTTTTTGAAAAAAAAAAATAAGATGAACTTTATTGATTAGGATATTAGCTATTACATCTAACCTAAAACACTAAGAATCTTCATATTAGAAACACCACAATTCAAAAAAGACAAAAACATTTCACATTTAATCTTGGCTAGAAAATTGAAATAAATATGTTGATATATCTACATACATATAGTATGTATACAATATATTATGACTAAACCAAATTTTTACGAATATTTGGTTTATCAAACTTATTATGTTCATGATATATAGATCTAAACCAAATTTAATTCAAGTTTAGCTTGAAAAAGAGAAAAATATATTATGAGTAAATAAAATATATTAACTAGTTAGCAGTACCGCAAAATACTTTTTGTTGCATATTCAGGTAGAAAGACTATACTAGTTGTTTAAAGAGAAAGGGTATGCAAATGATAGTTAATATAAAAGTTTGAGATACACATTAAGATATATGAATTTAGTTGTAAATTTTGAATTATATTGTGGTAATAATTAGGAAGGGAAGTAAGATTCATAAGTAAAGTAATTAATGTAATTACTTGCTAGCTGGTAACACTCTTATAGAGGGAATCCAAAGGCATATTGGTTTAACACTAGACAACATTATGATCAAGATGTGGGGTAATATATATTATGCAAGTGGGGGATACCACCATGGATTCTGATGAGGAACTGAACAATTTCCATTAAAATTTTTGCTTTATATATATATATATATATATGTTGATATTATGCATATATATATATGTATATGTACGTAATAATAATAAAAATACTAATTATTAGTATACATAGCATTGTTCCTATAACTCAGAAATGATAATATATAAATGCGAAAGGTAAGCATATTAATCTTAGCTAATTATATAAACATATAGATATAATCATGTATACATTTGGTATTGCTCAAAGATTTAGAAAAAAATTATAAATTATGTAATGCTAGACAACCAAAAGCAACAAATATTTTTAAAATTAAGAAAACCAATCCTATATATAGTGGAGTGGGAGATGATATTTTCTCCCTGCAATTATAATATATGAAATAAAATTCCAAGAAAGATACTCTTGCAGTACGTTAGACCTCATATATATATATATATATATAGATATCTCACATTCATATAATAAGAATATATAGTACTTGTTGACATCTTGGCTATAAGTGGATAATTATGTACTAATCAATAATTACTACCCTTAATTATATACTAGGGAAATATATCATAAGGAGGAGTAGGGAAGAAAAACAACTTACCCTCTTCACCAACTTGACGTTTTAATTCTCATTCAAACAATAAATAAAGTGCTTCATCAACTATCGCCTAAAAATGATCAACGAAACTCCATGATATCGAAACGAAGAGTTTGATTTCCAACAAGGAAGATCGGAGAGCTCTTCAAGAACTTCCTCATCCATTTCAAGACTTTATTTAATTAACATCCTGTACAAATTAGCAGACCCAAAAATTAAATCAAGTAAAGTGAATTGATTCATATATATATACACACACACATATGAGTAAATGTTTTAAAGAAGATTAACTCAACTGGTTCATCTACTGTAAAATGGTGTAATTGATTAGTTCAAAGTCTTGTACAATTGACAGCATTAAATGTATTAATTAGATGAATTGTCCAAACAAGGCTTAATTAAGACACTAACAACCACAAATTTGAGAGGGGTTAATATATAAAAGGGAATAATTTAGCAATAGCGATTAAATTAGCAAAATAGCAATATAGCACTAATCTTTGATGAAGACAAGAAACAATTAGATTCAGGTACAAAGGTCAATTATCATATAGGATAATAGCATTAAAGAAAAGGACATGTACATGATGGGAATTAAATTTTTTAAGAGATATGTGTATATATATATATATATATATAACCAAAGACAAATTAATTATGAATTAACTAATGAGATTTACAATTAATACTGGATAGTTATAGCTATAGCTATAGCTATAGCATAATATTGTATAAGATGGTTCAAGTAACAGCCAAACTCATTTACACCTACGAGAAAGAAACGAAAATTACATGAATTAATTAATTAGTTTAATAACTCTAATTTAATTCTAAAGATTCTTTTTCTTTCTTTATAATTAATTAACAACAAGGATACACACATGTCATACGCAACGTTATGTCCATTCATGGCGGGCACACGAGATTGCAAAGAATTCCAAAAGAGCTTAGACTGGACAAAAGCAACAATGTAATCATAATTATTAAATTTGGAAACCACAAAAATATTTTTTACTATGTAATTATTTTCCGTAAATAATTATTTAGTGTTTGTTGTTAAGGTAAATTAAAGTTACTGATTACTGTGTGATGATCATGTCTTGTCTCTCTTAAAGCAAATTAGGGTTTTTGGAGCCTCTGGTTTAGGGTTTATTGTAAAGGGAATCATGAATAACTAAATACCCAGATCAGTAAAAGCTTCCAATTGCAAGTTTTCCTGATTGGTTGACTGCGTTGGACCAGTTGGGTTTACCCAATATATAAATATATCTATACATATATAAATATAAACCTAGCCTTATAATTAATAATAATAAGTCTATTAAGTGCTCAATTTGTATCTCTTATGCAATATTATCTCATGAAGTCCAACTTTTTTTATTTTTATTTTCTATATATACAGTAGATGCTATTGTATAATATTGGATGACCAATGAGCAGGCCGATAAAAATAATTAAGGATATTATAGAAAAGAATAAATAGAGAGAAATCAATGAATAAAAGATTAATAATTACCATTTTAGAGGAAATTAATGAAGGATTACTGGATGGGAAAGGTAGAGGTACTGCTATCATCATTGGCTTTCATTGGATTCCTCTTCTTCTTCTTCTTCTTATAAGGGATTCCTCTTGCCTTCGCTTGTAAATCTCTCACTTCACGTAAATAGATTCTAATAGCACCACTGGCAAATGGGTTTGTCTCCGGTAACCCACCATTTTCTTCATAAGCAGCTCTGAGTCGGCCGATGAGTGCATCAAGGCTGCCCCAGGCTTGTTTTAGAGGGCAAGTACAAGGACCAGGTGGCTCGGGTTGGCCAAAGAAGACACACCCATTTAAGTGCACCTTGGTCTTACCAAATTGATCCAAGTACCTTAGAAAATCAAGCACGTGGTTAGAGCTACACTGAGCCAAAGCAACCGGTGGTCTCTGGTTCCTCAAGTATTGACCAAAAGTGTTCCAGTCTCGCCTCTTTTGTGACTCGTAGCGGCTAAGTGGAGGTGGGTTTTGTTGTTGCTGCTGGTCAGAAGATATTGATCTTGAAGAGGAGCCTTCTACTATGTCTTTTCCCTTGTTGGTTGACATGATCTTCGACACATGAAGTCTGCGATTAGAAGAAGAAGAAGAAGAAGAAGGAGGAGGAGGAGGAGGAGGAGGAAGAAGAAGAGAGAAGAGAAGAGAATTTGGAGAGGAGAGAAAATTAAAAGGATCACATCAAATGAGGAGACATGAGATGGGTCCTATGAAAATGCTTTTAGCTCCTCTTTTTCTTCCTATCGCATTATTTTTCTCCCTTTAATATTGTACTATTACCATTAACTAATACTTTTTTTTTATAAATTTTCTATTTAATTATAATTGTGCTTCCATCATCTAAGCAATCATTATTGAGCTCCTTAGCGTAATTAGCACTAACCATTAAAATTTTCTTACTAGCTGGACTGTGTGAATTACCTGAGATAAATAATTAATCAATTAGTAGGTGGGTTTACCGTACTAATCCATATTATATATATATATATATATATAGTTTACGAATTTGGGAAGCTAGGTTAATCCATGTCATAAGATCTATGTATATAGATTCATTTAAATGAGCTAGAGAGAGGAGGAATATTTATTGTATATCGTATATGTACGTGTACATATATTCCTTTTCATTATTTAATTTCCTTATGATGGGCACCACTCAGCAAAGAATGGACAAGGTTTCCTGGTAGATTCATAAAGATGTTTTTCTGTTATTTGAAAGTTAAAAGTAACAAGGTATGAGAAATTTATAGAAATTCATAAATTAAAATTAAAAATATTAATATTTTAATCTTTTAGTAATTTAATTTTCGAGATTTTTTTTAAGATAAAGATAACAAATTTGTTAAGAGTTAGGCAAATGTTTGAAAACTTACAACGAAATCGATGACTAAAACAAAAGTCTTATAAACACAACATGGTTCGTGTATAGATTAGCAAGCTGACCTTAAAACAAATTAAACGAGAGAAGTATCAAAGCAAAACACAACTCTTGGAATGATCAACCATACACCCTTTATATGTCAAAACAAAAACTTTCCTTTTTTTGAAAAGAAAGAAGAATATTTTCTTAGAAAACAAAACAAAACAACTCCACTAAAAGATATAGAGTGCCACAAACATGATAATATAGTGATTAATATTTTCATTTTTAACATAAATAATGAGTTCGAGTTTCACTAAAATGTAAAATTCATCACTTTATGGGTGTCTTATATATTGATGTAATTGATTCAAAATATTTAATTCAATAATGTTAAAGTTTAACTCCTTAGTATGTTGATGAGTTGTATTAATAAAATTAAGTTTTATTCTAGTGAATTGTGATACTCTGAGTAAAAGAAATATTATGTTGTAGTTAGATTCTTTTAATTAGGTTAACCACAATAAGTTAAAAAGATATGATCCAACCTTTTTAAACTCTAAAAATATGGATATAAAACTTAAGTAACCAGACTTATAATACGAGTACTATATATAACAAATACAACCCTTATCTAAGTACTAATTAAATATTCATAAGAAGAAGTTAGTACATGGGCCATTTATGGCCTTTTATTGACCACAACACAAAATAATCTGGAGAGTAAATTTTTTTCAATTAAATGCCTTAAAGACATACTTCTAACTCATCTAGAATTAAACACATGAAGTATTATAATCTACTAATTATACTTAGATTATCCAAAATAAAAATTGTAAAGGATATAGACAATAAATGTATCAAAATCCATCTTATATAAAATCATGTGAACACGATAATTTATAATAACTACAAGGATACCAATCAACTTCAAGTTTGCAATGGTCAAAATTTATAAATTTCTAACATTTCCTCCTTTTTTTTCCTTCTCCCATCTACCTTTTATCTCGTATGAATATATTACCTGAGTTCTGTTATAAGTCTTGGAATTAGCAATTTACACAATTAAGGCATAAATTAATTTATTTTGGGGTTTCAGGGCTAACGTATATGATTTTATCCTTAGGCTACTGATACTTTGTTGTATTCATTAACTTTTAAATAATGAATTAAGTCAATTATCCTAAAAGTTCAACTTTGTAAGAAATGCTCAAATAAGTTATTTATACTCTAACACGATATATCAGTAGACCCTCTATGCGGGAGGCATGGATCAAACATAGATCCATCAAATATTTTGCAAAATTAGTTTTTAACATAAATATAGCACAAAAAATTCAAAACTATAGCTTTAACTCATTTGCCATTTTAAATAAATAATTAAAATAGTTATATTAAAAGCTTAAGTTTATATAAAACAACCAAATCAACTATTTATACTCTTATATTGACAAATAAACTCATACTCGAGCATGATGGAAGGTGAGTGGAGCTAGTGTGAGAAATAGGATATATACAAGTAATCAGAATGCATGAGCATAAAGGAAGCATGTTTGAGTGCCCATTAACAACATATGTCAATTCGTTGAAAACAAACATTTGAAGATGTTCTTCAATAACTTTAGGGCAGTGATAGATGTTTTTATTTCAAGGAAAATAAGAAGAGACAATGTGAACCATGTTGGATTTATAAGATGTATTTCTAAAACAAAAGCAAAAAAAGAAATTGAGAAAGCAAATAATGTTAGCTTCATTAGGGAAAGGACTTACAAAAATGTTAGAGGAGGTATAAGCACACTGAAGCATATTGGTGAAAAAATACAAAGACCTAGGAACTTTTAATTAAGAGAGAAGTAAAAAGGGGCGAGCAAATTGAGACAATAATAGTGAGGGGTAGGAGAAGATCATATGCAAAAGTTTTATATGAGATTTTTGAAAAATTGAATATGATAGAACACCTGTAAGAGATTTTAATTAAAATTCTCAGTTTTCAAACAAAAGAATAGATATTAAAAGGTGGCTTAAAGGACAATAATGACTTATTATGGGCATATAAAAATTAAAAATTAGGCAATGAGAAGAGATAAAAAGATTATCGACACGAAAAAGTTAAAGAAGACCAAGTCATTAATCAATTTCTATAATAAGGAAGTGATGGGAAAGGTCGTGAAGAATTGGAAAGCAAAAAGTGGGCATCTAATGGAACAATTAGAAAAGTGGGAATTACAAATAGAGAAGATAATGAGGAAGTTTTGTATTCAGTGTAAAGGTATACCATTATTTATGTGGACAAATAAATTCTTCAGAAAAATTATGTGACTCAACTTGAAAGTTGGTGGAAATTAACAAAGCTACACAAAAAAAGCTTTGAAGTGGTGAGGTTATGTGTTGAGATACTCGCATACAAGCATTCTTTATAATCCATTAAGGTTAGCATAGGAAACTAATGAACATGGATTGAGCTAGAGGTAAAAGAGAGGATTTGAGAGAAATAACAGGAGAGACAAGGCCATAGGTCACTGAAAGAGGGAAAAATGATTGATGACAATAGAGTAAAAAGAATCAAATAAGTTAAAATGGCTCAAGATAAGGTGATGAACAAAAAAAAAAAGTAGAAACAAGGGAAAGGTGAACAAAGGGGGCCAATAGAGTATACCTAACTTTTATCTTTGGGAAAAGAGTTTACACAATTTAAATAAATTAACTATGGGGGATTTTGGAAAGCCAATATATGCGAGAGGAAAAAAGAAAAAAAGTTCATATGATGAAGGGGAGGAAGAAGTTTTCAAGATAATGGACTAGGGCAAGGAGAGCTTACATAATGAAAGAGAAAAAAAATGAATGAGAGTTATATGGTGAAAGGGAGGAAAAAGGAAAAAGAGCTCATATGGTGAAGAGAGGAAAAAACAAAAGGAGTTCATACAGTGAAGGTGTGACAGTTTCCTCTTTTACATCTCTATAATACCATAAATTCTCTTTTAGGTCCATGTGTATAGACTATCTAATTGATTCTTCATCTCACCGTGATCATTGTTGTTTATATCCTAAATTAGATCATATTAAATATCACATGCCAAGTAAAATTCATAGTCTCTTTTTCCATTTAAAGATTTTATTTCATCTTATCTTTGCGTATCTCATAATTCAATAAGATAAGCTTTGTCTTATTTTTATACATATAGTATCTCTTATTATACTTGCTTTGATGACATACCAAAGATCACATCCTCCTATGATTGTGAATAATAACCTACACATTCAGACAACCTTCTTTCACTCGTCCCAACACTCATATTATTCAAAGAAAATAATCATAAATTGAATGCGAAAGCGAAATAATAAAATTAGCATATATATTCTTTACACAATAATTAAGGATACCCAATAGGGTTATGATAACGACCATCCTAAAAGAATAAACGAAAAATCAAAGAAATAAATGAAAAGTAAACAATTAGGTATCCTAATTATATATCATAGGGTAACCTTTGAAGGGAGTTCGGGTGATGAACTATCCACACTCCCTTTGTTGATTTGGATTTAGATCTTGGTCTTTTTGATCTGAAATAGTTAATGAAATGATGAACTATACTAGTCTAGTAAGAATATTACACTACTCACCGATACAGAAATGAAGGTTGATAAAAATTATAAAAACAACGGATTGAGCTCTTAAATTAAATAAATTCATTTATCATAAATAAAATCATTTATTGCATACTTACCGTAGTGAGATTTTCAAAATCTATTTATAGAGGCAATAACACAAACAACATTATAATCTCATATTCAATTAGCCAGAACAATAAATTTCTCTTTTTATTTGTTTATTGGTATCCTTAGAGGTCCATAGGGATGTCTCACTACGTGTGAACTCATATCAAAACTTGTCAACTAACCGGCTATCCTCATACCCCCTCCGATATGAGTGCCAAAAGTACCATCCCTCAATACCTCATCCAGTATGAGTTGAATCGAGCCGTCCCCATACCCCGTCTGGTATGAGCGCTAACAATACAATCCCTCATACCCCGCTCGGTATGGGCACCAAAGTACCATCCCTCATACCTCATCCGGTATGAGGTTGAATCGAGCCATCTCCATACCCCGTCTGGTATGAGCGCCAACAATACAATCCCTCAATACTCCGTCCGGTATGAGCGTGAATTGGGCCGTTCCCATATCCTGTCTGGTATGAACGCCAAAATATCACTCCTCAATACTCCATCTGATATGAGATAACATCCACAGTAGGGTTTCCCATATACCCGGTCCGTCCACCATCTCAGAAGATATCCAATAAGACAACCATTCACTCATTCACTTAACAATTCAATTTTCC